GACTTGCCACGGTCTCCAACCCTCCTCCTTTCTCATCCGGGCTTGGGACCGGCCATGGCGGAGTTAAATTGCTACTGATGAACTTGTAATGTTTCTTTCCAAGGATTTTTCTACTTTTTCCGTAAAATCCTTCAATCTTTTCATCAGAATGGCTGGATTTCAGCGCATGTACTTAGATAACTTTGAGCTTCTGCCTATTTGAAACTCAGTGGATCTCAGTATTAGACACCTCGGTGAAGTACTAATAAAATGTACTACATTGTTCTTTAATTTTCTGTGGATAATGTAAGACTAACCACAGTGCTTCTGTTTTTCGATCCTCCGAGGAACAAAAGCGTCCATAGTTAAGCTCTAACGGCCCTTCCTCCATTCTTCTAACTTCAGTGAGTTCAACAATGTCACTCCTGAGTTTGGTAGTTTTTTCCAGCACTTGAATCCATGTTTCGCTTAGAAGTAGTCTGTTGTTGTACGCTGCCAGCGTTAATAAACCACTACAGCTCTGCTCCATAACCTAGCTATTCTGAGCACCCTCTGCCTTCATACCTGACTAGCCGTTGCCTTCGACGGCAGTAGTTCAGCTTTCGAAGGATGAGGATTGTAGTTGTTCATTTGATTTTGGAGAATTTCGCCACTTCTTATACGCCGGTCAGGCAGGTTGCTAAGTGTTGCCTTCTTCATTTGGGTATGTGTTCACCGCTTTCAAGCTTTCAGAGAATGGCTGAACCTGCCAGGGTCTAGAGCCTCAACCATAAGTCATTCTGAGAATCAATTGTCAGAATTTATGAGAACAACGAAACAACGTAGCATATAAAATTAATTCTGATGTTAAATGTGGTAAGATATTCAGGTTCTTTAGTCGAGGCAACTAAGCACGCTTCAGCGACCGTGAGAAATCATATTGCGTGTGCAGCATTGTATGCCTGCATTAAACTATAGCCATGAAATTAATGTAGTCAGTCTCAGCAGTATCGATAAGGACTAAAACAAAATTAAATTGTTAATAAAAGAACCTTTGCATATCTCTGCTAAGCGGAACGAAATATATAGCTGTTGCGTTACCTCGTTTGATATATGTAAAGCATGGAGTTATCTGGCTTGATTTATCCTTGTAAAATTTGATGCCAAACTTACAAGGCGAAACGTACCTTGTAAAAGAATTGATTTCTCACTGCACGTATACTGCGGGAGTGTAAGACAGATGGAAGTCTTGCACTGTATTGTACCGCAATATTATCGCATCCTTGCTTCTGGTCACATAGGGGACCATTTGACAAGCCACGGCTCCGTAGTATATAAATCCAGTATCAGTATTTGTATTTCACGCGACTCTGACTGAGGACGTTCATTAGGGAAGATGAATTCCTGTAGATAGACTGCGAAACAGTAATTTCGTTAAACAGGGGACTCACTGGTTCTTGCGACTCAAAAAGACAGGCGTCTGCTTGGCATAAATCGTATATCTTCCTGCGATGATTGTCGCGAATCTTGTTTAGTTCTTTGTCCACTTCTCCGGATTCATGCAGTGTAGTTGCACCGTCTTTTTGCTTCTAATAGCCTATGGGACCGTTTAAGCAGGTCACGGTTCAGTGGTATGTTAGCACTGCGTGCATGAACGCAAAACTGCACTATTCTGTTGGGTCACACAATAACTTGCTCGAGCAGCAGAGGATACATCTCGATCCTAGATATGTATAATTGAAATTAATCCAGGTATTGTGCGTCTACTAGCACTTTTTGGCCCTTTGTCTACTTGGTAATTTTCGATACCGCCGGTAAGAACAGCAGTCGCTTGTCACTTAACCAGATTCACCTGTCTCTTTTGTTTAGTCTCACCTTAGTCTCCATGCACTGATTGTCTTAGCGTGGCTGTTCCTTTAACCAGTGAAACGGTGGCTATCTTCACGTTCTGGTTCTAGTACAATATGCTGGTCGTATTTGACTTTCAGTGTTTAATCATGTTGCGCAGTGGTGCGCTTTGACGCCTTACACGCACTAATATTGTTGTCCCGAGTAAAGCGCTAGGATTGAACAGGCGCAACTGATATCTGTAGCTTATTAACAGCGGCGTTGATCTACGTTATGCGACTTATATTCGTTACGCTTCGTTGTTCGTGGACTGATCTGATTTCAGTCCGAAGAGTGCGGCTTTGATTTGTGATGTTCACTAAACGATTTTTAGCCGCACCTGTTATATTTTGATGATGACTTTGTTCTTCGCGACTGTTTCGACGTCGATGACACGTCCACTGTTGGTTCGTGTGACTTTGTACAAGACTATAAAAAGTCGACGCGCCGGTGTCCAAAATGCAAGTGTAACTTTCAGTTTCGTTTTAATACCTCGAAGTTTTTGTTTTTCAGTAAACGCAGATTCTAACAACGAACCTACGTCGAAGAGCCCTGTTTCGTCGGCCTCGAGTACAAGTTTGAATTCGCTCGGTTCCAACTTCGAAGAAATAGAATGGAAGTTGATCGCCATAACCAAGAAAGCCGGTATGTGTATTCTTGGCTATCGGCAGCTTCCCGGAAAATTTGCGGATCGGTTGATCACGCGGTGCTCAGCTCTGCCTTACGCCCTTGTGAGCGGGCGTTCGCAATTTGTCCTGTGACATCCGACTTCGGATCCGTAGCACAAAGATTTATTTCGGAAGAATACATGCACACGTGGATACCCATTTCGTGATCAGTACATAAAAGTATACAGAAATCGCTCCTTGCATGGTGTTCGTCACTGACTAGGAATGAATGAGTCTTCAGGTTTTGACGGGTTCTTCCTGTCGTGATCTGTATGCGGCGCTGGAATTCCGACTCGTGCGAATAACCGGCGCACCTCTCGTTTTTGTCAGCCCGACTCATCCGCAAGTCAAAGGGTTACCACGTATGACGACGAAAAGGACCGCCACAGTCCTTTATCTTCTTGTAATCTTAACTGATCAATACTTGAACAGTTAAGAAACGGGGTTTGCTAACTTTTCCACTGATGACGTCTTTTGCCCTTTCAGAAATGCAGAAACGCATTTTAGTACGCAGTGACAGACACCTCACCGTACATGCATGTTGCCTAATACGGGTTAACAGCTATCGTAGGAGGTGTTTTAAAGCAACCGGTTATACGGCGGTAAACCTTCAGTCTTTCAGTTTATTGGCTTTCCATCGTGTAGACACTGGAGATATCCTCAACGTTGATCCACTGTACGGATTGGTGTCTTTGTTTATTCGTCCATTAAAGACTTCGGTGAATGGCGCAGCAATGTAGAGTTATCTGGCTTAACGGCAGTTACGAATTTGATTCTTTTGCGGCACTTCTCTAGATTATTTCAGTGTGATTCTATCTGAGATTTTGCCTCATGTTGCCGCTGTAGTACTATGGAGTGGCTTTTCTAAACGGAACAAGCATTTATTCATGTCATTTTCGGGTTGCAGATCAGCAGCTTCAGCAGACTTGACGATGTTTCCTCTTGTGTAATCTCCGAATTTGCTGCCAAGAACCACACTGCAAGTTGTTCAGCACAGTTAAATCATCTGACCCCCGGTCTCCTATCAGTGAACTGTCACGTGGTCTTACGATCCTTAAATGTACCACTATCATGTTTTTAAATTATCGCTGTTGTGAGTTATCGATCTGGAGATACAGGGGTTCTCAGTCGACGTTTTCCGCACTACCGTGCTTCGAAACTTGTCAAGCATAGTTATACAAGCAGTCCTTCGGAACATCAGTTTTATCGCTTATATTGGGGATTTTCATTGTTTTAGTCAATATCCAGGTTTAATGATCATAGATAAGAATAGGAGCAAAGTTTATTTGAAGTCAAATATTACGATTGTTGAAATTTATACATCTTCTGCCGTATGGCTGGAAGGAAGGGGAGATGATTAGCAACATTGTAGTTCAGTGTCCACATTTTCGAGCCAACGAATGGCCGCCGCGGTTACATTTTGGACACAGCTTTGCTTCCGTTGAACTTTCCTAGCGAGCGTTCCGCAGTAATGTTCTGTGTGGTCTGATCTTCGTGGCCACAGTGGCATTGTCGGCTGGACTTCATATTACAACGGTGATGGAGGTGTCGGCAGAGCCGTGTCCTGGCTGAATCCCGTTAAACCTCGGTCATTCTTGGCGAGCTAAGTACATGGCAGGAGATTCCGTGATACGGTTTAAGATAGGGTGGATCTTTAGCGGCTGTAGCGTTTCCCTCTGCTCAACCATTGTTCGTAGAGACTCGTCCATAGCATCGTCGCTTGTTCATGGTACGTTTCCATGATGGGTGGCGTGATATCAGGCGTCATGTAGATGCCTTTTGGAGGACACGATGAAAGGAAGGCTGGGTGATTTGTATCAAGTGGTCCGGAAAGTTCGAGACGCGTCCATAGGGGAACGGGAATCATTATGCGCCACAGTCGGTAGCTACTGAATTCGGGTTGAG